TCGTGAACCCATATATAGATTTGTCAATTAACTTGGCCATCTCGTACTCATCTGGTAATGGGTGCCAAACACACCATCGTCTCGATACCCCGTCCAATATGAGGGTGAACCAGATTTTTCAAAACACTTTTGGTATGAGATTTCTCAGCTCTATCCGACTGATGCAATGTCTACAGTAGGGTTCCCAATGTACTGGATCCGTCCACCATTTCCCAGGGTACATAGATTCAGAGCATAAACTGACACCTTAGTTACATACCAATAACTTGTATTCACAAATCAATAATAGGTCATGCAAATAGGTGATACATATAGTAGGAAACATATATGAAACATTTATTATAAAATGAACCAACAAATGAGGTGTATGTAGTGAGTTAAACTAAATAATTGAGAGAGTAATTAAGTATATCAATTTAGTTCACATAATATAATAATCAACATTTTAAGCAGTATAGATAAAATAAATAGTAAACTATAGTAAATATGGACTAACTGATTCAGCCTCCATTAATGATCTGTAATTATTTTTAAAATTTCTACAAAATACAGTATTATCGATTATTAAGTTTTAATTTACGTAATAGAAGATAGGGTGAGAGATTCTTATGCCAGATCAATGTTCAAAATATCGTACTGTTCGCTGTCTCCTGATTGTCCTCGGATTTTCTGAATTTTTTATGTGAAAATTAAAACACTCATCAAGTATCTAAAAATACATCAAAAAACCAGAATAGGCATTTTAAAACCTTTCCAGCAAAATTTAGGGTTTCGGCACGGCGGCAGCTCACCTCAGTCTGGTCAGTTTCGGCATATTTTGGCCAATTTTGACTGGTTTTACGCGTAAACCTACAAAAAAAATGAGTTAGGAAGCCTCGATTGCCCGAAAAAAGACAAAAAAAAAAATTGAAACTTACCAGCGAGGGGTCCTCGGGTACGGCGGCTCCGCCGGTTCTCTTTTGCGGCTGTGGTTTTTTTTCGGCTAACCTGCGATAGAAAAGGACAGTGGATGCGGTAGTCACAAAATCACGTGAAACGAAAAATGGGAAAGGAGTCATCGGAGACGGTTTTGAGTTTTGGCCACAGCAGCTCGGTTGAGCTTTGTCCGTAATTTTTGGCTCACCCATTTACCATTTGGCTCCAATTTGGGCATAGGAAGACTAGGATTGAAATCCGAGTAAAAAGAAAAAATTGTTACCTTTTTCAACGGTCGATGGTGCCTCTGATGCAATGACGGCGGCGATCGATTTCGTTTTCGGCCGCCCTCTTCTTCTTCTCAGGTGAGGATTGGTGCGACTAGGGTTATGGTTCCCTAGAATACGATATTTAAATACTCTTCCCGAGTTGATCTAGGTCGTTCATGTGGAGACACGTAGCCTTCTCTCGTTCATTGGATCCTTCTTATTCAGGAAATGAATCTGAACTGCACGATCAGATAAAATCTGACCGTTCGATCGCGTTTGAAGGAAAAATATATTCAAGCTATCCGTACGCGCGGGATGCGATCTGAACCGTCAGATTGTCCAATCACGCGGATCACCCTCGTGGAGTCAATGTCAATGTCTTTACCATGTGGCCTATTCTAATTCACTGTGACTGTTGACGTGGCAATTCCACATGTCCATATTTTATATTTTTGCAATGTCACCTCCTATTTTCAAATTTCTTTCAAACACCCCGCTTATTCAATTTTACATATTTTTTTAAATTACTTTCAATTTTGTCCATAATTTATTTTAAAAAATATTTATAAATTTATATTAAATAATTTTTT